CTGATGACGGAGGCAGTATGACCTCTGAAACGTTGGTTAACATCGACCAGACTACACAGCGCAACAACCCAGAAGACAGAAATTTTCAGTTTTAATGAAGTTTAACAGTAATAAGACTTGTTGAACCCACTGGCAAAATCTAATGTCATGTGTGAAATGGAGTTTGTTAAGTGGGTGGAAATAGATTGTGACCTACATGTTAGTGCAGTCCCAGCAGATGTAGAGCCTACTTGATCTATCACCCCAAGAAGAAGAGTAATCAGAAAAATTGTTATGATGAACCTGAGCCAGTTAGCATATAGCAAACTCTTAAAGTTGTCGCCCTCTGTGGACTAGTGGTTAGCATGCTTGCCGCTGGACCCAAGGTTCACGGGTTCAAACCTGGCCAAGGTCGATGTATTTTTAAGGGTGATATAAATCTGTAGCACAACTTCAAACACTTCTGCATGTCACAGATTTCAAGCCACAAAAACCTATGGAAAAGAACTAGAATTTGTGGACCAGTATAAATTAAGCCATGGATCACCAGCTGTGAAGAGTGATTTTTTGATAGAATTTACTACTCATTTACTTGACAGTACCGTGTTTTCTGGAACACCCGTTTATGTGAAAGATGCCCAGTACAATGACACTGGAAGTGGGAGATGGATCTTCCATCTGCATATAATATATTTTTCTTCAAACTTAGGTTATGTTAGACATCTCTGTGTATCATCCTTTCTCATCACGTTGTTGGTTATTTTCTTGCAGCAACATCCATTGGACGTTCAGTATTTTGACAAGGCATTCACAGCAGAACGAGCCAAACTGACACCGGTAGAAAAAGACATTTTACAATCAATGGATCAAACACAATTCCAAGGTTTCAGCTATACTAATCCAAATGCAACAGATTGAAGTGAAATTTATAATTTAAAGTGACGTGTCATTGTTTTCTTTTTGAGCATCACTGTTGCAGCAGGAGACGCTAAGTGACGCTGCTGCTGCTGTTAAGATGTCTTCACAGAAACTTGTGCATATCTTGAAGGTACATTGTCCTACAAGTTATATTTTGCTGCTCCTACGCAGCAAGAGCATTAAAAATATGTTTTCTTAGTAAGAGACTTACGAAATACTGTAATATATTTCATATAGTTTAAAGAAGATAAAGAAATTTCAACTACTTCGATACTTCAGTGGCTGTATACATAGAAGGCATTTTAGATCAGAAGCGCTGTTCCAGTTTTTAATGTCACTTGGTACTTAGATATTCGGAGAGATAGAAAGATACCGCAGGCAACGGTTGCATCTGGTTTGTAGGAACTTTGCCTGTAAGGTTAATAGGGGTGGTAGTAATTATACCTGTGATATAGAGAAGAAACAGTAATTAATCTACTTCATGGCATAATTTTCTCTTTTATATAGAGGACCTAGGAAATTGACCAGTCAGGAGATTAGATTTTAAATTATTGTTCCCAGACTACAGTGTGGATTTAACACCTCATGTACCGGTATTGTAAACGTAAATGTTTCTCTTTGATTAAAAATTGTTGCTATTCTGAGGTTGCGATGGCATAGCTCTTGTGAGTAGTGACCGACTATAAGCTGAATGGCCATGATTCAATTCCTGGCTAGGGCAGCATTCACACTGGCTCTGGGGCTACTCAGTCTTCTACCATTACATGAATCTGCTCAATAACTTACTTCCTTCTAGTACCGGGACTAAAAATGCATTCTACTTCCACTACCACATACATCTTTATTGTATGGTGCTTAATTGAGCACAGGGACAACTTTTATTTTACTGTTATTTTGAGATATGACATACACGTCTAGCCTCAAAGTTCATATGACATAACCACAAATATTTTTATAGTATATACAAACTTATGTAACTAAGTATAAATGCTACAATTGGAGCTAGAAGTGAGAGAGAGAGTAATGATTTCTTGTAATGTACTGTTTTAATATATGTTGTACTACAATTGGAGCTAGAAGTGAGAGAGAATAATGAATTCTTGTAATGTATTGTTTTAATATATGTTACAATCCCATTCACAGTCCGGCTCCTATAAACCTAGCCCCACACACCCTATTGGCACATTCATCGCCCTGATGACGGAGGCAGTATGACCTCTGAAACGTTGGTAAACATCGACCAGACTACACAGCGCAACAACCCAGAAGACAGAAATCTTCATCATCATGCTTTACTAGTTCCAGTATTCTGAATATGGTGGTTCTACTAATTTACTAACAATGGAATACCAAACACAGGAAGTTAATAAAAGTCATATGGGACTTGTTACAGGAATCTAAACTTGGTGTAGTGACGTCATTCATGCTGTAAGTATGGAATGATGAACAGGCAAGTTCACAATGGATATATGAATGCATTTTGCATTCACAGTAGAATAAATTAAAACTATTTGGGTTTTATAAACCTATATTAAAGCTCTTTGATATACAGTCAGTATGACGTGGTAAAGCTTGTGGTGAAAAAATATGCACTATGTAGTACTTATATTGTAGTCAAAATAGCTTTTTCAGTAATTTTTACAATATTTAGGCATAATTTCTGGGTGATTAAAAAATTAAATCTGTGGCGTAACAGCTCCAGAAAGCCAAAGCCGACTAACTTGACTGCTGGCCTCACGTTCACATGCCTAAGCAGAGGTGAACGATCATCCAACCAGATGTAGGGTGACGTGTGGTCAGCACAATGAACCCCCAGCCATTGCTAGTTTTCCTGACCGGATTATGGTACTCATTGTAGCTCCCCAATTTCCTCACGATGCTGGGTTGGCACCGGTCCCATACACTGGTCGAAAGCTCATGAGAAGATTTCTTCTCCCCCAAGACTCGAACCAGCGTGCATTCCGTATCGCCGGTCCAAAGCATGATGCCTCAGACCGCGCAGCTACGGCGCGGGACAATTTCTGGGTGATAGTTATCATTAAATTCCCTTAAAAATTAACATCAAGTAATCATTATATCCAGGCAATAAAGAATTAAGGTTTATATCAATTTCCTTTTGTGTTTAATGCCTTAAACTAGCTCTGTGCCAATAGTTCACCCATTATTAACCACAGTACATTAAAAATATTTGCAGTCCAATAATCTTGAACATAAAACTCATAACCAAAAAAGAAAAAAGTAAGGAAGTAAATTCTGATTTTAATATTTTCTTCTAGTTTTTTCACATGTTAAAAGTTAAGGTAAAATTCATTTTCACTTATCTCAGCTCATTGGTAAAACAGTGATGAAAAACCTTTCTTTTAAGATTATAAGAACATAATTTTCTATGTATATGTGTTTTGCATTATGGCGTATATGATGTTACAAAACACTTACTTTTAAAAAGTAAGTGATATTCTAGGATGGAAATACATTTCCAGAACTAACTTGGAGCAGAAAGGTGTTGAGGCTGAATGACACTGGAGTTGATTACAGACAGAATTGAAAGTTGACTGTTCAGTGCTGCTGCTTGGGAAAGGAACCCTTTGTTTTAGTTAAATAATTTCCAGAATTACTAGGAGAATGATATACCTGTGTTCTTATTTCATTGTGAATTTCATTTTTTACGTTTGTGTTCATGTAAGGACAACAAGACTTTAGTATTTCTGTGGCACATTTTGCATTGTGTATAATTAATTTCATATCTTTATATCAGTTCTTAAAGACTATTTAGTTGGGTCTCTTCAACTCAGAAATATATTCTAGACTTTCCTGTGATTGGTGGAAGGCAGACAAAAAGTCATCATGGACTTCTTCCACTTGGCAACATTTTGCAAACCAGTCTCTTCAGAATTCACCGGTTGGCAACATTTTGCAAACCAGTCTCTTACGAATTCTCCGACAATTTCTGATATATGTAATTTAATGAGATCTAATTATGTTTTATATTCTTTTTTCAAATAAACTGAATATTATAAGATCTTCAACCTGCACAAGAAGCTAAGCAGCTTTCTATTAATAAAAAGCAGAAATGAAATGTGGTCTGAGTTTGGAAACATTACCAAGGCCAATATAATCATCTCAGTGTGAAAACAAAACTTCTGCTAGACCACATTTTCCTCCACTATTCTCAATATCTTTTTATACGTAATACTCCCATCTTTATCATGACCCTCTCTTCATCTTCCCTAATGTATTTTTACTCTGATTGGTACTTTTTTTATCTTTCATTGTGTGTCCAAACTGTTCCAATCTTTATCCTTCGTTAGTAGCAAATTCACGTCAGGAATTTTCCAGCTAACCATATTACATTTTAATTCTTAACTCTTTCTGAAAGCACAGATGCTTTATCATCAGGATATGTGAGTGAATCTCAGGAATAAAGTATATCGCTAAAGCAGTGCAGTTTGGTATATCCACTTAATAACTGTAGTACTTATAATAATACTGTTTTGTGGTCATTTGTAACAAAATGATTTGGTACGGTAATCTAATTATGGCTCACTTTAAACTACCATAATTAAATACTGTATTTATAGTTTCGTGATATGCAATTGAACTAATCTTTCTTTGACAGAACAGAGAAACTAAATATAGATAAATTGTTCAGTAACTGGCTTTTACTTTTACTTCATTCTATACTTAGAATGTCTGGATAAAAAGCAGTCAAAATGTGCTTCATAAGGCTGACTGCTCTGATATTAGACAATACAAATCGGTATTTTGCTTGTTAAAATAGAGGTATTCAGAATTTACTTTCTATGAGCCAATCCTCTTGCTATAGAAAAATCTGATCTGGTCTGGTCTGCAGTTTTTGTACTGCACTTCATGGAATTTTAAACATGTAATAACAAAAGTTTTTAAAATGCTTCTGTAATTCAATGTTTTGCTGAATCTTTGAGAAGTATAAAATTATTTTAAATAGACAAAACATAAAATGATGAAGTAAGAAGAACTGGTGTTGAAGGAACAAAAATAAAGAGACGGTAGGGATTGAAATGCTATAGACATGTAACGTGAACAGAAGAATATGGATGACCAAAAACAATATATGTGGACCCCTACCAGGAAATTTGATAAGAGAAAAATCATGAAATTTTTGAAGGAAGGTATTCTTTGTGCCAAACAATATACAGGACTTGCAGAAGGGGCATTTGAGAAAGGAAATATGGAAAACAGTTATATGAAGCTGACTACTAATGCTGCTGCTGATATTAATTCTTCAAATTAATCAGATGACTCTTGACCTTTTCTTGTTTAACCTTAATTTCCTTGCATCACAGCTTATGTGCAGTACATGTATCATACTAACATACTGCTAAACCAGTAATCATGGAGTTACAGTCTGTCCAGCATTAATATATTATGGGATTTTAAATTGCCTCATCCTTATTTCTATTTTTTTTCATACAAATTTAAAATCCATTACTCTGTACTTGATTTCATCTTCATGCCTTGTTCATATTTCAGCATCATTATTTTTATTGATTTAGATTATTTTACATATTTGTAATTACAATTTGTTTTGAGACTTTCCCTTCAGTTTGTAATTACAATTTGTTTTGAGACTTCCCCTTCAGAACATAACATTTTCAACTTATCTGGGCTTTTCTATTAAACCCCTCTTCAGTCTTCTGTCTATCGCTAACCCCTAAATATATACATTTGTTCATTTCTTTTATAGCTATATAAGTAGCTTTATATATACGCATTTGTACACACGCACTCATGGTGCCCTGCAACAGTATGCTCATTGCTTAATTTGATGTTATAAGACGTTCCTCTGGTAACCACGCAAGACAATGCACTGCCTCATCTTGGCAGGCAGGTGACTGCATTTCTGAATCAACAGTTTCCAGACCATTGGAATGGCAGAGGTGGTCCGGTTGCTAGGCCAGCGATATCACCGGATCTTTCGCCTTTGGACTAATTTCTCTGCAGTCACATGAAATCTGTGGTGTATGCCGTCAAGTCAAACGGTAGGGCTGAGACGAAGAATTGTGTAATGGATTCCGATGCTAACATCAATTACACGAAGGGCTCAACTGTGCGTCGACAATCAGAGTGGACATTTCGAGTCACGTAAATAATGTGAGTAATTGAAAATGCAATTTAGAGTTTAGTCTAAACTTAATAATAATAATAATAACAACAACAACAATGACAGTGTAACCTAAAATTAAATGGAAATAATGTAAACATTACAAATTCAACAAGATGCTCATTCTCATTTTCTTGAGAAACCGTTGCAGATGCTGACCTTTGTTTATTTGAACTTTCCGACTCAAAATTATCCCAAGAGCACGTAGTTTAGCTATGGACAACCTGTTGCAGGACATTCTGTTTCATTTGTAAAGAACAGATTACTATTGCACCAGGTAGCAGTAAAATGTAGTACAGAACGGATCCAAAATGGACTCAGTGATCTAAAACGTTACACATTATTCATTATTCAATAATATACTCTTAAAAAAGGTAATCAAAAGGTAAAGGGAAGAAAACACTTGGTGCTATGAAACAGTTCTATGTGAGGCAACACTAATAAAAGTATTGCATTTTCCTCATTCCAACTTGCCATGCTGTCCTACCTACACAAAGGAATGCTGTAGCTCTTATAATATAAAAATGTGTGCTGTCCTTAAAATAGTTATGACTGAGAATAAAAATTTATTAAAAATGAAATATCTGCGAGCAATTTTTTAAATTATAAAATTCCGTTCCCAGAGGAATACATAAATTCATGTAGCACAAGCTGCAGATCTTCCCATTTACGATATGTTGCTTAACCATTGTTGTCAACAATGCAGTGAAGTGGAGTATAGCAATACATTATTTTTATCACAGCCACACAATTTGTCTATTGTAAAAAGAGGAGGGACTGAAAGCCATTCTACTTATTTTGTGTGTAATGTGTACTGTGGACTCACATAACTTGATGTTGCAGGAAATTACAGCCAACATACATGTGTGTATGCCAACACGTCTCTCATTCTCCCACTTTCTGACTTTGTCCGAGACTAAAGTAGTGAATGCGTCCTACTACCGTGATTTACTAAAAGAGAAACTTGAGCCTACCACGATAATCAAGAGGCATGTGTAATTGTCCAAAGGGGTTATTATCCCCCATGATAATGCCTGTCTGCATTCTGCAAAGGCAATAAATGATCTTGATTAACTGGGGTTGGAGGTTCTGTCTTACTCTCCTTACAGTCCAGATTTGCCCATGCATGATTTTTACTTGTTTGGACAGCTTAAGGAGAGCCCAGCAGTTGAACATCAACAGTGAGGTCATGGAATCGAAAGTGGTCAGAGTGGTGCATTAGTTTTCACAGCTTAGGCAGTCTCTGCCCCATCCTTATCCAATAACAAAGTCATAAAGTTGCTAGTATATACATAGTTGCCACATTGTACTCAACGGAAATTATTATTGTTTTACTGTGCATTTTAAAATTACTATTCTCATTGTTACGCAGTATAATTTCTTTCCCCGCTTCAGACAACTTTGTTTCACATGTTAACCCCTCAGTGCCACAAGACATTTCTTATTCTGTCATGCCTGCAGAGGTATTTAAACATTGAAGCTTGAAAATGCAACATTTCATTTAAACTACAATAAATGTGGAAGAAATAAGTTTTATTTTTAATTTGGTTCAGAGAAGTATACAGAATCAGAATATCATGCTGCACAACATATATTTTATTTGTGGTCACGTGGGTCTTCCGTGTGGATTGAGAATGGAATGGGTTTTACAAGGAATGGATAATTTCAATTTAATGAGAGATGTGCTGGCTACTATTACTTTTTGATAAGTCTGCAGCATATACCTTATGGCATTACATCATTTAACAAAAATGTCCAAGTTATAGCCATTTTTTTTCCGTCATTGAGTGACATTCTTTAGTTGATTTACCATTTTTCAGTTATGTTTTATATTGGCCATTGGCTGTAGTCTGTGAACATGACAACTAATCACCTGAAAACAGGTGTTAAGCCATCTCATGAAATGTTGTGTTTTTTTAATGTATTAAACAGTAAAACATGATTGCTGTTTATGAGTGCATGAATGTGTTTAGACTTATTGCTAGTTTTCTTGCTTCATAATAAACAGATTTTAAAATCCACAAAATTCCAATCATCTGTGATAGGAATCGGGAATCTGTAATTCTTGTAATTGCAGGTTGTTGATTGATTATTGAATTTCCCTGACTTGGAAGTAAGGTACTTCATTGTTGTATAACCGTATAGACTCCTACATGTCAAACTCGGTGGAGGATTATAATAAAAATTCAAACTTTGCATATACTGGCCTAATAACATTTCGACCATGTACATTGTTATCTCTGTGGCTGAGTGTTGATATTGCAGGAAGAGTTTTGTGTCTTGGTTGAATCCTAGTGATAGCTGCAGGAAAGTCTTTGTTTTCAGAATTTGTCTTCTTCCTCATAAAAGTAGGCGTTAATCGTAAATCTAGCGGAGGTTTCTCAGCTTTTTCATATTCTTCCTGGAGTTTCTGAAGACCTTCCTGATCGCGATATACCATGCAGATCGCTCGCAGTGTGAAGTAATAAATAATTTCCACTCCACTTAAGAGACTGAACCCCAAGAACAGCCCCGCAATGCCACCAAAAGATACTGGATTAAGAAAGAAAAAAACATTTGTTTTATTATACATTAAAGCTATACTTCTGAGGAAAAATATTCAGGAACTAATGATTTTTTTTATCTCATTATGTCCATTAATCCCAATATAAACTAACCATGGTGTTGCAAGTTTTGGCTGGTCATTGTCTAGTATTACAAAAAATTTATTAACAACTTAAAAATTACAAGTTTTGGTCTTGTCTTTAATTGTTATAACTAATATCGTATAAAGTGTTTGTTCTAGTTAGGTAGATTAAAATAATTGAGTTATATACGTTGACTACTACTATCTGGGAGTCCCAGATAATAAACCCCAGAGCGAACACCAACCATTCATAAGGCAGATATCACAAAGACATGATAACCAATGTCAATACACACATCGGACATTGCAGTTTACAATATATATATACGATCATCCCTCAGGTGGTGACTCTTCGGAAAACACGTATTATGAAATGGATACACACATTGTCTCACAGAGTGCCAATAAATGTGCATACCCAAATCTTTTAACAAGAAAACATCTTAACACTATGCTATTTTTGCTGTTACCTAGATGTGGAAAGATAGAAAGCATTCAATATATATTCCAAAAATAAAACCACGTAATACAATGAAGGCACATATTCAGTGCATTCATACTAATAAGGTGGGGATGCAAAGTTTAAGTAATAAGTAAAACAAATAAATTTTCAAGGATTTAAAACATTTGTTATATGTATGTTTTATATTTACTGTATTTTAATGCTTTTTTCATACCTACTTAGCCAGCTCACAATTATTTAAACCTACTTAACTACAATGAACAATTTTTGTTATATCAGTGTAAACAATTAACTGCAAGACCACAATTTGTAGTTTTAATTTTTAGTTTGGAATTTTTAACTTAATTTTAATTTTGAAAATGATCCTGTTGCCCAGAATTTATTTCTACAATGTTAATAGTATAAATATACTGTGTGTGACAGAATCTTTGTTCCGTAATAACTCACAATAGGTTGCAAAAAATGTGTATTAAACAAATCATTGCTAGGTCAGTACAGCTGCTTTTATATTTTTTACATTTTTTTTTAAGAATGCTAACGTGAGACAACGGTGAATGTATTCTTAATTTGGCAAGTTGGACTTGGGATAAAGTTTCAAGCCATCTACATATGTGCGTGTGTGTGTGCACGTGCGTGCGTAGATAAATTATTGGGTTATGGTGATTCTTTGACCAAATTGCAATGAATATTGCTGATGTCTAATAAATGAAGTATGGTAGTCTGTAACCTAGTAAAATGACTAGGAAAGGCTTTGACAACATTTAACAGTATTTATAACTTTCTGACAGTTTAAATCATTCCTATAGATGGCATATTCATGCACATGGACACCTTTTGTTGGATGACAGATCGGTGGTATTCAACCTTTTTTTGTTCGTGTACCCCCAGATATAATTTCTCTTCAACTTCGTACCCCCAAAGTTGTTGGTGTATAATACATAGTATATAATCTACATATAAAATAAATTAAATAAATTACATTACTGATTATTCAGTGTTTATCATAAAAATATATTGTTTTTAAATTTCACGTACCCCTAAGATGTCTTCGCGTACCCCTGGGGGTATGCGTACGCCAGGTTGAATATCACTGACAGATAATTCAATCAATTACTTTTACAGCTGTGAATAAAATCAATAATAAAAGTTGTCTTATACAGGACATGTTTTAGTGTGAATTACATGAATACTAAGCAATACATGAAATGTACAACGCATCATGAAACACTTACCGAGAAGATCAACCCAACCAAAGAGGACTTCTCTCTTGTAGCGTACCATGGGCCAAGACACAAATGCAACTTCTAGATTGTTAATCCTGTTTGCAACAAATACCATGGTATCAAGGTTCTTTAGGCATAAAACAAGACTTACCAGAAAACACACTCACACTTTAACAAAATGGGCTAGTTAAAATTCATGTATAAACAATTACAGGAGAGAAAATAAGTATAAAATATTAATTGAAAAGCCATTGCTGTTCCAAGTAAGTTTGAATGTCATAATATACAGAACACTAGCAAATGTTTGAAAATGTTGCTAAGGTCAAATGCTTGAGAACTGTAGTAGCAAATCAAATTTGTGTTATGTCAACACTGGGAGCATACTAAATCTGGGTTAGGTTCACTGTTATTCAGTCAAGAATCTTGTGTCTTTTGTGTACAAACATGAAGATTTAAAGGTACAAAATGATAATTCTGTTAACAATGATGTCAAAATGATTGTAAATTAATTATGATAAAAGCTCGACAGAATTAGTATTAGTCGACTACTTACATATCTTGATTTTCATTCCCAGCTAATTTTTCCACTTCATATACAGTGTTGCTGCATCCTAGTTCACAGGAACACCTCACAGAACGAAGATTCTCTGAAATATTGCACAGTAATTTATTGAAATA